GACCATTAAAGTTTGTTGAAATTTATACTTCTGTGATAATACTTTTAAGAAAAAATGAAAATAATAATTTCAACTATTGCTGATCTGCTAACAATAATACCAACTATTGGTTATTTTTGTATAATCCCAACTAATGACCGTCCGCCAGTAATGGTCCATGACCGGATATTTACCTGCTATAACAGGTGAATTTTAATAGAAATTAAGAGTAAAAATTAAAAGTTGAGATTATTTATATTTTATAGAGATTACCTGCTATATCTCTTCTCATCCACTTTAGAAACTATATGAATTTATTTATAACCGGTCACGTCGGATTATTATTGGCGGAAGGTCCCTAAAGTTGGGATTATTCAGAAATAATCGATAGTTGAGATTATTAGAGCATCACCATTCCTAATCCCGTAAAATCATATTTTCTAGCATTCTTGCCTTTTAAATATACTTACATAATTAATTTTTAAATAATTTCAAAATCCATTTATGCCTCCCAACCATCATTTTCAAATAATCCGCTTTTTTCTCCGTCCGACATTAACGTATTACACATACATTTCAAATAATCTTAAGATAATCCGGATTCATATTTTGATCCCGGATTATTATAGCAAATAATCTCATTAAATAATCAATGTCTCCCAATGATACTTCTCTAAAAAATCTGTCACGTCACTAATTTGATCCCTCAATAATCCTAACAATGAGGATGCCCTTATGATCGGACCGTCAATGAGATTATTATTAATAATTTTTCTTACTTTTTATAGAAACATCTTCATTTCATTTTTACTTCGTATATGTAATCACTTTCGCATATATAATACATAAATATACTGTCAATCAAAGTATATCATCTTTTACTATTGTTAAAGTTTAAGGATGTTTTCTACTCTCAAAACAAAAAGTTTAAGGATGTTTTCTTTTGAATTGAAATTTGCTGATCTGGTCTAGTACGGTATGGTCTGATCGTAACTGTCTGCTCTCTGTGTATTTTATAACTACAGAAGTCTGATCTAGTCTGATCTGAATTAATTAAATCGGGCCTTACATATATAAATCTTGTATTCTTGTGCGGTGTGACACTCAAACCAGTTCCCGTGAAAATATACACTCTTCACAAACTTTTAGTACGAAACAGTGGAAACACCATTCGAGTAATGTATGCCGTTGATAAACCATTCATATATTATCTGTTTGGAAGACGAAATGTATTACTGAAAATAACTCAAAGTTTTACCAAACCAGATCACTTTCTGGTGTTTAGTTTAAACGTTTGAAAAGTTAAAGCATGGCCAAATTTTTAAAGAATGAAAATCTGCAGGTCTAATACATGCCAGCGAAAAACATATTTTGTGACAAAAAAAGACAAAACATTAGAAGTTAAAGTAAAAATGGCACACCTTGTATTACTTTGTAGTTCAAAAATAATGAAATTGCACAGTTTTCTCAAAATGAACTCATCAAAAAATGCACTTTATCAAATACAACCAGCCTATTCTATTGGTACAAACAATACAACAACAAACAAGGAAGAAAACGAAAGTACAATTACTAGCAGGTTTTCTTGAGGGTTCCCAATGAAATCCACTAGTCGTCTTCAACCTTGCCCACATTTCCACATACATTGCACTCCATTAATGTGGATGTGGATTCTGGAGATGCACTTGAAGGGGGCAGGGGAGCCAATGTGCCCCCACAATTGTCTCTGTTACACATGAACCTAATGAAAAAATAAGCATGAGGAAAATCCCCATCATCCCCCTCCATTTCTTCCTCATCCATACCTTCCCTATCCATGGCTTCCTCACCTTCACTCATTCCACTCCCATTTCCAGACATATCTTCCACTTCTTCTTCTTCATCTTCTTCTTTCCAATTAGCCTCCACATTACAGCGATCACAATGGCATATGAAACCATAGTCCTCCCTCAACCGTCTCTGCCTCTCGGAATACTTCAGGTTCACAGGAAAGTAACTCAAGCAGACTTCCCGGCCCTCCGTAACATCATGAAGAACCCGAATTACGACGTCCGTGTTCGTGTAGGGATTGGAATCAGCATCAACATAATCGAACCTGCAAGCATTAGGAAGGCAATCATGATTGAATAAGGAGGCTTTAGGATAGATACCATAAGCCCTCACAGATCTCTCCATGTCAGGATGGAAGGGCTCCATCAATCCGAAACTATTGATACCGTCTCTCGCCAATAGTGCGGCGGTCAGCTCCCTAGAGAATCCGAATTCCCGGGCCGGAGTTGGGGAGAGTGAAGCAATCAGAGAATGAAGGAAATTCGCATCGTCCTCGAAAATTGTGGACGGATTTCCTTGAAGAGATAGAAGAATTCGGAAATTTGAAGGAGAAATTGCAGCTAGGTTATAGGCCGCGAGGAGATAGCGAGATAAGACTTGCCGGACGTAGCTTTGGGCTACGAGCGGAGAAGACGAGCCGTCCCGGAGGCGTCGCAGAGACTGGCAGATCCAGGGGGTGTGGGAAGTAGATCCGGCGACGGATTGGCAGCCGGAGCTACAGAAGACGTCGGAGCAAGACGGACAAGATGATGGCGGCGGAAGAGAGGTGATCAATCTGAAGCAGTTGGAGCAGTATAGGTTTTTGCTCCAGACGTGCGGCGGTTCTGAGGTCGGGAAGAAAGGGAAAGCAGAGTAGAGAAGGAGAGGGGAGTCCCTGAGGATGATCTCGCCGGCTCTTAACGGCGCCGAGGCTACAAAGGACCTACCTTTCCCTTCGAGCTCTGTAACCCTCAGAAGAGTGGCCGGAGCAGATGACGGCGTCGAGGTATTACCATACATATTCTCCGGTGGCAAGCGCCACTTACAGCCGTAAGATACGGATAGATTGTCAGCCGCTGCTAGGGTTTTGTACCGGGGTTTTGCTATCAGCGGTTGACGATTAATAAAGGAAAGCAACAGTTCAACGTTTGTTTTGTACTAAGATTTTTCTTTTAGATCAGAATTTGCTGATCTTGTTTGACATGTTTGAATCTGATTTGGATTATTCTCGCTACCATATTAGAACAGATTAGATTTAAATAGGTTTAACTAACTTTCATAATTATAAAATAGAGAGAAACAAGTTAGGATGTTTTCTTTTGAACTGAAATTTGCTGGTCTGATCTGTTTAAGTCTGGTCTGATCTGAACTGGTCTGGTCTGATCTGGTAAACGTCTGGTCTCTGTGTATTTTATAACTATCCAAGTCTGATCTGGTCTAGTCTGGTCTGGTCTGGTCTGGGACTGAAAACAGTCCAAAAGAAAACATCCTTATTCATCAAACCAGACCATTCTACACCTGTACTCGGTATGACTAAGGATGGACTGGTTTCGGGTCGACCAACTCGTGGCCCGGCACTGTTTAGAACTGGCCCGGCCCGGCAACCGGGCCCTGGACCGGTCCGGGCCGACCCGTACCGAACCAGTTGTTACTAAGAGCGGGCTCAGTTAATGGAAAATGGGAACGGCCCGATTCGAACCTTTTTTTCAATTTTTTTTTTGTTTTTTCCCGGGTTGGGCTGAGTGTTTTGGGGGGTGGGATGGTGGTAACGGGGGGTCGGGAGTTTATTAGAAAAGCAAAAAAAAAACATTGAACCGGCCCGGCCCGGACCCGGTGAAATCTGGGGCCGGTTCCGCCCCCCCCCCCAGAAAAAAGGCCCGGTTTGGGCCGGCCCGGAGCCTGGCCCGGAACTGGTCCATGCCTAGGTATGACAATATTAGAGTACAACTAACTCTTGAACGAAGTAGTTACACCACTCCCACAGTCCCACTAGCACCATAAAGTCGTTTGGTATTACGAACCAATTTTGAACCCGTTTGGTTACACGAAAATCGGCTGATTTGGCTGATTTTGCTGAAATTTATGAAGTTCTGGCTGAAGTCGCTGCATTGGCTGATTCTGCTGATTTAAGAAAAAATTATTTCTAAAAATTTATTTTATTAATAAAATAAAGAAAAAATTATATGTAAAAATAGTTTAAGTGGTCATCTACAGTAATTTCAGCCAGTACAGCCAGAAAAAGTAACTTCAACCTTACGTTTTCTGCTTATTACACAAATCAGCGCGCGAAAGTAAAATTATGTGTTTGGTGAAAAGTTGACTGATAGGTCTCATAAGTCGAAAGTAAAATACTACATTCATTCCATTCAAAAGCCCTCATCCACTATTCTCCGATCAACCTAAAGTCTTCTTAATATATTACTTCATATATCCAACTTTTATCAAATTTGAGTTTTTCTTTTGCGACTTTATAAAACTGTTGATATAGTCTCTAAATATGTAAATTTTATTTACTAAAAAGAATATAATTACGGACACAAATCAATTAACTTTATGTAAATCATGTGAGAGCCTTTCTACAGGACGTAGAGATGGTTTTTTTTATTTATATTTTTATATATGATACTGGTGTCATATGAAAGATCATAAAAAGTTATGAATTTTAATATAATTTTTCTAAAAATTGGATTATAAATATAAAAGTTATATCACTTTAAAAAGAGAGATTAGTTCTCCTTCTTTTGCTCCAAATATCACGTAGAGAGTTATATATTTGCAATAGCCGTGATTTTGGAGTTAATTAATAGTTTAGTTGTTGTGATAATAGGATTTGCATTATCCAATAGGATGCTGACACATCATTAGTTTTTAACTCAATTTTACTATATAAAACTATAAATGTAACTCCAAATTTTAAATGTGAGTTACGACTTAGCACAAGTTTGGCGCTTTCTCTAGTTTACAAATTAAATATTTCATCCATCTCATAGAAAGGTTCTCACTTTTCGTTTTTAGACGGCCCATATAAAAATTTTCATTATGATTTTAGAAAACAATTAACAATCTTAAATGACAAATTAATCATTAAATATTAGAAATAATAAATTTATAACATCACAGTTATCAATACTAAACTCATTATATTATATACCTATTAAAAATATATTCAAAATATACTCGAATTATCTTATTTAATTATTGTTTAAATAACTGTGTCATTGGAACCTTTCAATGGGACAGAGGTATATATTTTAAATAGCTATTATTCATAATTCAACCAATTCGTATGAGTAGAGTGGCAAAATTAAAATCCAGAACTGAAAGAAATTGCGGAGGCAGCAATAGTCATAGACTCATAGTAGAGCCATATGAGGCAAAAGCTTTTAGGTCAACGTATATTATCGAACTACAACATCTTATAAAAGTTACAGACAGCTTCGACTCAAATCTCATCAAAATTGTCCTTTCTTTGGAAGCTATTCATCGTGGTAAAGATATAAGCCAAGTCCAAACCGAGCACAAGCTCTGCAAAATGCAATCTCCTCAGCTGCAGTAACTGGATCTCTGACGCTCTCGTCTCCGGAAGGCACTGTTCCAGTTGACTCGCGGTATGCCTTCACAATATAATTTGCACAATTACATACAAATTAGAGCTAGTCATTCAGATTTGTTTGAAATGGCTACAATGGTCAAAACAATTAGACTATATGATGCACAAGAACATTTTGTGTACAAAATGAGAGAAGATGCGGAGACCGTAACAAACTAGAAAAACATAGCAAATGTGGATATGCAATCGTAACGGGCGTTGGGTTCACCAAAACTAAGATTACTTTAGCTAATACTCCGTATGAAATTATCTTGAGCTGTCTGGTTCATAGAATGTCCAGTTAGTTTTATTGTTGGATTATCAAGGTTGAACTCAAATAGTTCATTATACTACCAAGGTCGACATCATATTAGTTCATTATACTACTGAGGTAATCAATGCCAAAAAATGGAGGTACTCTCATCTCCAGATCTTTTACTTAATATACCAAACATGACAGCATGACACCATAACCGTAACGATACACTACCAAAGTAAATCAGATTACCTAAACCAAACATGGTATGCTACATTGCCTTGACCACATTACTCAGGTAATCTCACATCGTGTATGTTGGAGTATATGGGTCTGACCCCAGGACCCACATCCTCACATGGGCTTAAGAATCCTTTTCCCTCCGGCTTTGGCAGCCGGGGCTGAACAGCTGAAGGCAGATGAAGGAAAGCAAGTATTCAGCTGGGTACATGCCTTAGACAATTTCACCACACCTTTGCACAACGTGCGATGGAGCTACGCATCGCCACCCGATCTGTGTGAAGTGCAGACCACCGCCTTTGGAGAGACAAGCGTCAACCACACCACAGCTTGTAGCACGTGTTGTATGGATCAATAGGTCAGGGACATGTGTTGTCCACCCATTAGTTATACTCAAACATTGCAACTGGAATTAATGTAAAAGGTTGGACTATATTCCTGACATTCCTCATACACAAAAATAACACCACCTTTTCTCTCTAGAGTAGCTCCCACTTTTCTCTAGAACTATAAAAGATTTTGGATATTCCATCAGTATGAATTGAACACCCCACTTTACTTACTTATGGCCCTCGTAGTTATCAGTTCAGCCCGATACTTATGGACCACCTTTCTGGACCAAGGTTGAGCCCAATGCTAGTTCTTGGACGACATACAATGTTACAGGCCACGACCGAGTTCAATGCTCGCCCTCAGATGTGACCGTAACATTAACCACTTCGTGATGGACATGCATTTGTCTATGTACTTATTAGTCTATTTATATACACTTACCAATACCATGTAAAAAGGAGGCCTCAATCACCGATCTCACAAATACATTTGGTAGATAGCAATTAAGAGAAAACTATATGGTAATTCATGGAAAATCCTATTAACTCAAATGGAGAGAATAACAGGGTTCATTTAAAAGGGCAATCCTGTGTTACAGTTCATTCTAAAGGAGTTATGACACAAAGTATTGATGCATAAATGCATTATACTTGAGTGAAACCGAAAAGTGCACTTTTGATCTCACAGTTATACCGTTGTACATTGTAGTGTATATATTGCCATAGACTTGAGTAATCCTTCGCCGGCACTAGGAGCTCCTTGGGGCCTAGGTGATTTTCCCTCCTCGGCCCCACCAAATTATATATGCCCCGCTTAACTTCAATTAATTCCTAACCAGGCGCTAGGCCCCAGTCTATCACCTAACGGGTGTCGGGCACATTTTTCAACATTTACAAGTTTTGGCAAAATGCGGATACTAGACCCAGTCTCCCACTATCCGCGTTCACCAGATAGAGCCCCTCATTCTAATAAAGTGTGGCACTACATATCCATGCCAATTTACAACAGCTAAGATAATCATCATTGGCACCTAAATGGCAGTTAATAGAATTAACACTAAAAATCCATGCAAAGAACACGTTGGCAATCCTTTACACACATACCGTTAAAAACATAAATGGTTACTTACAGTCACTACTAACCAGGTAACCAATTTACAAAAGTAGCACAAGCAGTCCATAAACCATTGTTGATGAATATAAACATGTGAGTAGTGAATGTGCCAGCTTCTACTTTAATGAAGTCCAGTGACTTTTTATGCTCAAGTATAATGGAAGAATGACATACCTCTCCATCTGATCCCAGTACTGTGACACGGTAAACGACAGTCACACTTCCATTCTCAGAAAAAATAACATCCCTTATTTCTCCACACCAACCTGCAAAGAGATGTATTAGTGTATTACAATAAGTTCGTGGCTATCAAAGAGCTTTACGAGATTAGAAACCCGACTCATTGGCCAGACTTGCAAACAAATGAAACAATCTAAGTGCTGGGACAAAGAAATCAACAATTTCCTAATGTAATGATGTAAACTAATAAAGCATGAAAGCAGCAAAAAATTACTCCGTGTATAGGAAAGGGTTGAGTACATGACATGACCCAATAAAGAACTACTAACTTACTAAATTACTGAACAAAGAGAGATTTGGTGCATGGAGTGTGGGGAAGGGAATAAGGGATTACCCTATTATGATGTTATGCATAAATCCATGACAGAGTTAAAAATATTTTCAAAGAGCATGTCTTTATACATTCGCAAACAATGGCTTCTTATCATAAAGTTCAGAACTTACATTTGACTAACAGAACTACTGTGTGCACATAGAATGAGATCTCAATTACTCAAGGAAGAGTGCTAACAGGTAAAGAATGAGAAATTTTAGTTTGGTTTCAATTTCTTTGAGTCTTTAACCAATGCACTAAAGTTGCTACTTGCTATGGAAAAAATACAGTAAGCTATGTTCAAATAATATGAGCACTGCACCTCAGATCAAAATATGAAACAAGAGTACAAGACTCATGTTACTGCTACGCAATTAGGTTAGGCTAGAGTTCAAGGTGTGTGAGTCTGACTTCATGCAAACCATGAACTACGGGAGTATCACTTTATTATGATTATTACTTTAGTACCCTAGTAAGTACTAGGCTACCAGCTACATTGAGCAAGACCCGAAAACAAAAACCTTGCATAAGGGGAACTAAATTCCTTCTACTTAGAGAGTCGTATAATGATCCTTAACATGTCCTGTTTGTACATAAATGATGCACATTTGAGTTTTTCGTCTTTTGGCAAGTTGATATGTTTTAATACTTTCCAAAAGTTAACACAGAAAGTGGTGCCAAAATTTAGTGAAGACTTGTGTGAAAAGAGTAAAAAACACCAGGAATATCACTTTAGCTACCTCCTTTAAGTAATGGAACAGTTAGTCAGTTACTCATTTCCTTCGCAATTCTCAATGGAACTCCTAAATGAACACGCCATATCAAAATTCCATGCTTATGACTTCAGTATCTCTGATAGCCTTCTCAATACTTCTAAATTTTATAGTATTGTATTGCCAACATATTACTCAGTCAATTACTTATATAAAGTCAGGGCATAAACAGCATAGATGATAAATGGATTACATTCCACTCTAGATATGCATATATAAATTAGCATTTTAGGGCAGAAACTAAACATATTCATCAATCATCAGAGTGACCTGGGGCGTAGAAGCTTAACATGCGATTGGCATGGTACCTGCATAGGAAAAAATGAATACATTAGGTAAACTAACAATCTAGACTCAAATTAAAGAAAGACGACAGCAACAAAACCAAAAGGAATTGTAAAGTCGTACCAGGGGATGAATGTGGAATGAGGATCATTACTGTCGTGATCCTTGATGATGTTATCAGGGATCCTCTTATTGAGGTCACGGAGGATCTCGGCAAGAGGGCGAGTAAGACATGACGATGGCTTGTCCAGTGGGACCATGTAGTTCGAATTAGGTACAGACGCCGACGAAGTCGGAGTCACCTTCTTACTGGCTGCGCTTTCCCCAGCGCCGCTGTTGCCGGTGCGTTCCACCGCGGAGACTCGAAATTGCGAGGCTCTGTTTGTGGACCTAGGAGGGCAGCTCCTCGTGGCAGCCCTACTGAAATGAAATTCTGCCGGCCGTGCCCGCTGATTCGGGCACCCTATCAACGGGGGGCGAAACTCCACCGCCGGAAGCTTCCAGTTGGAGCAGCGAGAGATCATTCTGGCAATGAATTCCGATCGAGTTGAGGCAAATTTCTCTGCTCAGGTAAGAACTTCAGAGAACCACTCAACCAAGTTCGAGTTCACGTGGATTTGGCTCCGACTTTGGATTCTAGTTGAGTGTTAGGTAGGCTGCCTATAAATACTTAATCTGACGTTTTTACACAAAAAAGACGTGTTTCAACAAATTTGGGGATATCAGGGCTATCAGCATATCTTCGAGTGCTACCAAACTTTTACTCCGTACAGAGTTAATGATGCTAACAACAATTCATGGTCCCGACAAAATTTATACGCAAACATTTGTATCTAAATGTCAGCGTATATGGACATTTAAATTTAGGGAAGAGTGTCAAATAAGTCGGGAGGTCCTGTCCGGCCATCGTCATTTGGGGTGGTTCTCGGTGAAATTTTTTGATGAATTTTTTTGAGCATCTTATTCATTGACTCTAGTTTGCTCATACCAAATTTTAGCTAACAATTCAACTGGGAAAGCATTCAAATGAATTCTTGAAGATAACTGTGTTTTTAACTTCAACGTTATTTTCAAGAATTCATTTGAATGTCTTTCCGATTGAAGTTTTAGCTGAAATTTGGTATGCGTAAACTAGACTGAATGAATAAGATGCTCAAAAAATTTCATCAAAAAATTCCACCGGGAACCACCTCAAATGGCGACCGCCGGACAGAACTTCCTAAATAAGGACTTATTTGACCTTTTTTGTTAGTACATGGGCTTATTTGCCCCCTTTCTCTTAAATTTATACCGGGCAATTGATGTATAGATAGACAATTGATGCATGAGTTGCATGTGCGCGTAGACAATTAAGAGTATTCATATTATCCTTTCAAAGAAAAAATATTCTTACATGTGTGCACATATAATTATATATAAATGTGTGTCAAATTTTTACAAATTTCATGTACAAATAGAATTTTTCTAAATTAAATTTTGGATTTTTTCTAAATTAAATTTTAGACTTACGAAATCAGTCAAATGACGTAGTTTACTTCATTGATCATACTCTGATACTCGGTTCAATAAAATGATGCCATTTATTTCACATTTTTTGCTTAAATTTGATGTTTTTCTTTTGCTTTTTTATCTAAAAAATATTGATAATAATAATTTTAATTATTACCGACCGATCTACTCATAATAATCATAATTATTGATTGTTTTCAAAAATTCCAATTTCAGGAACCTCCTGCCAATAATGATTTCACGTGATCGACTACCTGTTTAGTCAATTAAAAAAGAAGTACGGAATATATGAGTGTAATAATCTAAACTATAACATGTTGACTTTTATTTAACCCACAAAATCAAATAAAAATTACTATAAATAAAAAAACTAGTAAGAATTAATTATAGATATTGTTTGTATTATAATTAATTTTTAGGTAGTTTATAGAATTAAAAATATAAAATATATAAATATACGATATGTAAAAACTTGTACAAATTTTATAATATACAAGGCGTATTTTATAATATTCCATCAAAAAAAGGTATTATAAATGTCTAAAGAATGTAAAATATATAAACAAAGCGACCAATAAAAGGTCAATATCATTAAAAAGATATGCAGTAATATTGGGAGATGCTAAAAAATAAAACTGTGATGCTCAACTAACAGAACTTACGATCATATCAATGCTTATTTGATACCGATGCTATGCTCATTTTAAAATATAATATTAATGCACATTTCATAGTTATCGTATTAAAGTAGATTCACACATTGGAATTCATTCTAAACATAACTTTAGAAACTTTTATAAAAGAAAAAACAATATAAAAAAAGTGAATTAGAAAATATGAAGCGAGATCATGATGCTCATTATTAGGCTCTTAATACTCAAAAGAATATGATTGATGCTCAACAAAATTGCATTAATGCTCATTTAGCAGAAGTAGCGGATTTCACTGAAATTACCAAAATGTCACCGATTGTACGGTACAAACTGTACAACCGGTTGTACGATATACGGACTCACATGAGTCTATCGCATTCCACAATAGTAATTAAGCGGTGTTTGTACCTGCTTTTTTTTTGGGGGGGGGGGACAATTCTTTCTAACCTATATAGTATTTGCTCAATGTTAATGTCAACATCCTTGAACTGGGGTGGGATTCGAACCTGTGACATCCTCCTTCGGAGTGTCACAGTGATGCCATCAGACCACAAGGTATTTAGCTTTTGTACCTGCTTCTTAAAAAATGGGTATTGAAGTCAGGGAAGGACAATAGGGGTGGTGCTGTGGTGGTCTCTGATAGTCTTGGACCCAGTTCGGGACGCCCGACCCGTAAACCGGCCCGGTCCTTCGGTCCCAAAACCGGGCTTTGACCCGAACTGATAGGAATAGCGGGGGCAAGCCCGGTTTACCCCATTCTTTGGAACTGCCCGGGCCCGGTTCGGGCCTTCTATTTTTTTTTTGGTTTTTCATTGTTTTGAGCTTTTTCCTGAGTTGGGATGGGTCCCGGACGCAGTGGTAACCCGGGTCAGTCCCGGGCCTTCAGCCAAAAATCAAAAGCTAGGCCGGGTCTAGGACCGACCCAGACCTGAGTCCATGACTAGTCTCTGGACTGAGATAGGTGTTTGGGCGGCGGCGGCGGTGCCTTGGACGGTTTGTAGAGAGGTAGTAAAATAAAACTCACACATTCAAAGTTTTAAATGAATGTGTATAACTGAATATATAAGAGTTATTGAGGTAAATCACACATTTTAAAACTATACATCCGTCCAAAAATACTACTATTTTAGTACATGCCTTTATTTTCAGACAGTTTTAACCGAGACTAGAGCAACCCCTATGTTCAAATCAGACAGTTTTAACCGAGACTTAGAGCAACCTCTATGCTCAGACCATCCTTAAAAAAAAGGGATGGACACCCCATCCTTGAGGGTCCCTCAACACCGGCCGAACATAACTGGGAAAGAATCGTCCATTCCATAAGGAAGATGGTCCGCTTCGTAGAAAAATTCTAGGAGGTGCTTTAAATTTATGTCATTACATCTAAATGCGGATATTATTTAACAACAGTCCATACAATGCTGAAACTTCGTTTAAACATCACTCAATATGAAAGAAAAGCTGATACAGAATGTTGATACTGCACATCTCAATATACACACGTTTCAAAGGATTCCATAATTGTTTTATATATAATAAACTCGTACAGCTTAATATCCACCACGCCCAACAGACAATTCAAGTTGAGTGCTCAGCAGGATGTGGCTGGTACGTGCGCCGCCTGAGCTGAGACTCGGGAGTGGGCTGCTGCAGGAAGATCTTTGTGGGATCATTGGGGTCAACATAGCTGAAATTTCAAGAAACAAAAATAAAACAAGACTGTCAGAGTATATTCTTTTTTAACTTCAAAATCAATATTTGACAGGGCAAACAAGGCACTAGATACATACGCGTGTCTCATCATTTCATCAACAGGAGTTTGTGCGGCTTGCAAAGGATCCATTCGTGGCTGAGCCGCTGCAGCAGTTTGCTGTTGTCGATGGTATTCTCTAACTGACTTTATTAAGTTGAAAAATAAGGGCACAAAAGTCCCACAACCACCTTCCTTAAACAGGATTTTGATGGAGTGCGTGGAATACAAAGCCCTGTTTTCATTCTCCGGCACAACCTGAGATCATTTTGCAGGAATGAAAGTGAGAATCACCCAATATAAAGGCCCATACTGTCCACAAACTATCTTTTTTTGTACTTACAGGTTCCACAGATGCAGAGATATTGTTGCAGTGGAATATTGGTTGGTTAAACTTTTCGCTGGAAACATACAGCTGCAGGTACAAAGACATTTTCCAGTTAACAATCGCCAGAGCCAGCTTATTACCAACTTTAGGGTTGGTTAAATGAAATTTGTAGAGTTGATGTCAAAATTTTATGCCAGGTGCTCTTTCATGCCACAAGGCACAAGCTTACCCTACTTAGAAATTAGGACCGACAAATAAATGAAATTCAAGAACTGTGATCAGCAAACTGAGCAAAGGTGATTTCCACTTTGATGGAGAGTAAAAATAAAAGTGATGAGTTGAGGAACTTTCTATGGTCACATTCCATTAAAAGATTGATATTGTAAGAGATAACAAGCTAGTATGAAATGTGACCAATGTTTCCATAAACAATACATGAAAATAAAACTAGTACAAGAGACAATGAAGACCCCTTTTTGTGCACAACTGCATGGAATCTATGACAGTGAAGAAAATGCTATATTTCTATATAACATTTACTTATGCCTTGGAACTCAATGACCTCTCAACCCTGAGATCCCCCTAAAGAGCCAAATATTCTACTTATTCTAGATTTGAGGGCCAAAATTTCATAGGACTGGTGATCTCCGAATCCCATATCGAGATACTTAAATGCTTCAATGTGCTTTCTGTCTAAGAAAGAATCTCTTGATTGTTCAGAACATACTAATTCCTAGGCAGCAACAATGATAAATACAGTACTAGTTTATGAGCTCGATCATGACACACAATAAAAAAGCTAACTTTAAGAATTCTGAACCTAACAATATCCTTAGCACACTACTCCAAAAGCCAGCAGTTGAATATTTCCATAGGAGACAAATGAATCCAGTTGGATATTATGTGCGTGGATGGACTGATCCGTGGGTGGGAAAATTAGGATGCAATTTATTGCAGCACACTCAAAGACATAAAAATGTCATGTGTGTAGTAGTATTATCTTAAATACCCAGAATTTATCAGAAAAATAAAAACATTTCCTTTACAAGAATTCCATGAACAAAATTCATTCACCACATAATACAAGCCAAAATCAAGAATAACGTACCAATGGCATGTCAAATGCAGAGAAAATGCCAACAGCAGTCTTTGCAACAAATACCATGCGGATATTTGACAAGTAAATCGTTCCCTTTGCCTTAACACGTCCTGGCCTGGTTGAGAAATCAACATTAAACCCATCAAAACAACAGAAAAACCTAATCCAAGCCATCATCAATCGAAAAGAATTTACAAATGATAAAGATGCGAATTGTGAAAGATAGACGAGGCAAAGCGCTAACCCAGGGATCTTATCGACCTCGAATTCGACACCATCTCTGGCTAAGACGAACATTTCGTTGACGAAGGGTACGGGCATCCCATTGGGGAAAAGCTGAGGATTCAGCGCCATATGAAACTCTGAACCAACTACTACTTTAAGCAATTCTGAACATATAGAATGAATAAGAGGGATGAGACAGAAGAAATGCCTCTTATCACGCCTTCTGAATAACACGGAGTACTTCAATTGATCTGGGAATCGCGTTGATTCCAGGCGATTTCCACCACCTTCTGGAAATTGACCCAACAAGGGTTCTGCTTTTTAGAAGCTTTTCATTTTATAAATTGCTCCATTTGGGGGTAACACTAAAAGCCCGTTTGGTAGCACCAAAATCGGCTGTTTTGGCTGATTCTGCAGAAATTTATGATATTCTGGCTGGAGTGGCTGTTTTGGCTGATTCTGCTGATTTAAGAAAAAAATATTTTAAAAATATATTTTATTAATAAATTAAAGAAAAAATTATATGTAAAAATAGCTAAAATGGTCCTCTACAGTAACTTCAGCCAATACAGCCAGAAAAGTAACTCCAACCTTACTTTTTTGGCTTATTACACAATTCAGCGCGCGAAAGTAAAAGTTACGTGTTTGGTGAAAAAGCTGGCTGATAAGCCTGATAAGCCGAAAACAGAGCTCTCCAAACGGGCTCTAAAATTAACTATATTGGCTGAAATTTCCGAAGTCCACTAGTCTAGGATGAATTAACTTTATTGGCTGATTCATGAATTATTTTTACTTATAAATTAAATAAAAAATTATATGAAAAAAAAACTAAAATGATCCTCTATAGTAACTTCAGCCAATACAATCAGAAAAGTAACTTCAACCTTACTTTTTCTGTTTATTATACAATTAAACGCACGAAATAAAAAATTACGTGTTTAGTGAAAAAACTGGCCGATAAGCCTGATAAGCCGAAAAAAGTGATCACCAAACGGGCTCTAACATGTTTGATTGGATTAAATTATTTGTATATGAGATTGCTTATTTAGCGTGTTGAATAAATACTTTGAATTGAGTACCACAATCAATTTAGTATTATTCTTGAATTATAATGTCAATGAGAAACTTCATTTTTTGAAATAAATAATAGCTTTATTAATAAATATCGTTCAACAAAAAAAAGGTACCGCGCAGTACAAGCAAGAGGAAAATTTAATGAAACGGCATGCTTAATTAGAGCATGAGTCAATCGACTCGCTAACCAATTCATAAATTGGACATATATTTCAGCAAAATCAATCATCACATGTCTAATACTAGCAAAAATATCATCTTTATAGGAAGAACTACATGTTGAAGACACACCTTGGACAACTTGTTGAGCGTCTGATTCGATTTACACTCGGTGCCACCCCATTCCCAACATTTTTTGGTATATATACATCTATTTTGTACCAAAAAAGGAAAAATTGAAAATAATAATTTCAACTATTGTCGGTTCGTTGTTAAAAATTCCAACTATCGATTATTCTTGGGTGGTTCCAACTTCCAACTATAGGGGTCATTTTCCAAAAAAAAGTCCCTAACCGATTACAACCCGGTATAACAAGTCAATTTTAAATGGATAAAGGGTAAAATAAGGGCTTCTACTATTATGAAATTGTCAGATAAGGTCGCGTACACAATAAAGTATCATATAAATAGGTCTACTTATAAAAAGCAATCAAATGAGTCCTAAAGACCTTTTGACAACCTCGTAATCCCGATTTCAGCGTACGTCAGACTATCTTTTTAAAATAGATTATAAGGCTAATGTGGAATATTTAGTCCGGATTGGCTAAAATACAAGGAAAAATTAACGACACGTAAGATAAAGTTGGGATTCGGAGGTTGTCAGTGTGCCGTTACGACTTATCTTATTGCTTTTTTTATAAGTAGACGTATTTATCTGACACTTTATTGAGTACATGACCTTATGTGACGATTCTGTAATAGTAAAAGCCTTAGTTGACCCCTTTCCCATTTTAAATGTGAACTATTAGTAAGCCATAAATAAGGATATTTTTTTATTAATCCCAATTATCAACTCTCAGTTTTTTATAATCCCAACTATAGATATAGAAATATTATTACAAATTTCCAAACTAAATATTTTTAAGCATGAAACAAATAATTGCGAAAATTCCGCAAATGTACCAAAAGTAAATATATTATTTTTAGTCAATTTTTATTTATTTTCACTAAAATTTAAAGTTTTCCTTTTTCAATTTGTTTTTTACGGTTGTGTACCCAACTTATGATTTTGTATTGTTTTCCTTTATTAAAAATTTGTGTTTTCTATTATCAAAAAGTAAATTTTGATTAAACTTTTTACAATTTAGATCTTTATTTTAGCTTAATCAAAAAATCAAAACTTTCTATTTATTTCATTGATGGATAGTCTACCCGGGGGGTATCTTATCCGAGGGGTTAATTGCGGGAATAACTAGAGAGACGTCAGAGCAAATAGGAGGAGAGAGAGTCGATTTTATTAAATGAACTCAGTGTGGTTTACAAGGAGAATAAGGGCTGCTATTTATAGCAGCAATAAATGCGATGAGAATACACGTGTCAACAATCCAACGGCCGAGGGGTCACATCAATCGGGTGGCACCGACAGTGGCATGTTCACCGCATTGAATGCGGTGGGTGGATGTGACGTCGCATTAAATGCGGTGGTTGGCTGTCGTCAAAGGGAATCTTCGATGATTGAGTCTGTTTGGCCGAAGGCTCCTCGTGTAGCCGAGGGTTTCGTGTGGCCGGGGGCTCCTCGTAGCCGAAGGCTTGATTCTTCAGCCGAAGGCTTCTCTACTGCCGAAGGCTTCATAGTGCCGAAGGCTCTTATTTTTCCGCCGTTTTCTCCCAGTAGCTTCGTATGCCCACAAAAGGCTATCCTGTGAGTTCTAGAGTCTTCGGCCAAGGAGGCCGAAGGCATCCCAGTGCGTACTTTGGGCTTCTTTGAGACTTGGGCCGCTGTATTTGGGCTTCGGATGCTCCTTGGGCTTAATGGGCCTTTGTGGGAGAAGTAGGAGTATATGGGTCGGGGGTTCCTGGGCCATATACTCCATCAGGAGTCCCTCACTCCTTTTGCCGAAAGGTACTTGAGGGAAAAGGAGTAGTTGTGTTGATTCTTCCGGAGGCTTCATCGTTTCGTTGGGCGCCTTTGCTTGAGAATTTGTCTTCTGCTGTTTGCCGAAGGCTTCCCTCAGTCCCTCACATGTCGAGGGTTTTCTGAGGGAAGTGTGAATAATATCTTTATGTGTTGTGATGAGGGCTGCTCCGCCATTGTTAGTGATTCTTCGGAATTTTCCTCAAATCCTGCTTTGCCGGAGGGTGTAATGATGTATGTACCCGAGGGCTACATGCGTTATTTGTAGGTTTTTGCATGTGGGAATTTTTGTTTTTAGTCATGTGTGATTCCCGAGGGGTGTATCCTAGTCCCCCACTCCTTTAGGCCGAAGGCTAGTTCGGGCTGAAGGAGTCATGATGTGTTGATGAACTCCCGAGGGGTGGTAACATTGATAAGCCGAAGGCTTATGTTGCCACATGCTTGAGGATGCAACATTGGCAAGCCGAAGGCTTATGCTGCTGCAGGCTCGAAGGTCCTTGGTGGAATTCGTTGACTGAAGGCTGCGAAGAGTGATAGCCGGAGGCTATCATTCGAGGGTACTCTGGTGTTTCCGAAATATAGCCGTTGTAATATAGTCGTTGGAAGAGGGGTCGACGTGGCTGGATGGCGTTGGCTGGAGGTGGGCGGGAGCCATCCATTGGTTGAACCGGCGGCCCGTAATGATGGGCTTTTCAAATCGAGGCCCAGTTCTCGAGGCCCAGTCGCCTATAAATACCCCAAAGCCGAGCTCATTTCCCTTGCGCTATCTTACGTGATAGCGAAGCTCTGCCAAAAATTCTAGAGAGAGAAACTTCAGCCTTCGATCAAACCCTGAACCTTGAGGTCAGTCCTTCGCCTGTTCTTTGTTTTCGTAGCATATTTTAGGGTTCCATCCTTAGATCTAGTGTTTAGTGAGATTTTAGCGCCTTCGGTTAGAATTCCCTTCTTTGCCCTTAATCATGTCCTCCGCGAGTGATTCCCAAGACATCTCGAGGGAGCTTTCAGCACAGTCCGAAAGCATTTCCGAAGTAGGGTCCTCCAGCGAGCAGCCCTCGGTAGGTGATGATGCAGCTGTGGCCGAAGAGATTCAGAGCAACCTTCGGACAGAGATGGAGGCCGAAGAGTTTGAGCAGGTGGTAGAGGATGAGGAGCTAGCCCTCGCCGTTCAGGTAGCTCAAGAGGCGGAGGAACAGGAGAGGCAGCAGGTGACGGTTGCTGTCCCTCCCCCTAGGAATAATGAAGTGGCAAGTAGCTCCCGGCTGCTCGATCCGGAGCCTGTGAGTGTGGCTCCGGGCAAGAAAAAGAAGGCACAACAGAGGGCGGGAGTCCCGTCCAAGAAGAAACAAGCCGCTGCTGATGCGGGGCAGCCAGTAGGTATTCCCGAAGGGCACTCGTACTTGGACACCACTGCCCTTGAGATGAAGACGACGGCCTCGGAAGCGGAGCTATATGCGACACAACTTCTTGTAGGGCCTTCGGCGCAGGTGGTGCAGCCGGGACCAGATGATGTGCTATTGCGTGCACCCGAAGGATGCTTCGTTGTGCATTTGCTTTCGGTGGAGATGGGCCTTCGGTTCCCGTTTCACTGGTTCGTCTTGGAGTACCTCCGGTTCGTCAAGCTGGCCCCCTGCCAATTAACTCCCAATAGCCACTCCTACCTTGCGGGATTTCTGTCGTTGTGCCGTTCCCGAGGGGTGACGCCGACATTGGACCAGTTCTTCCTGAGTTTTAATTTGTGTCGGGGAGGGCACTCACACGCCGGGGGCTTTGCCAATTTGCAGCAAGTCCCTGCTTGGAAAATGTTCTCGGAGGCTCATTCGTCCATAAAAGGATGGAAAGACAAATTTTGTTACATTCGCCTGACGGAGAATCCCTTTCCCGCTCCCCTCCGCGATAGCTTCAAGAGGCACCCCAAGGTTGGAAGTGCGGCCCTCCAGAAGAATAGAAGGAAGTTGATGGAGAAGCCGGCGGGGTCGGATAAAGCTTATCCTATTAAAGACGCCGTACTCCCGGAGGAGCTTTATCTCCTAGGCTTCCGGAGGTACCGAGTGGGGGGGGGGGGGACAAAGATGAGAAGTACCCCATCATTGATCGCGGATTCCAGAGAGCTGGAGGTTGTACTCGGGGGCTCCCGATATTAGCACTTAGAGTTTTTGTACTTTGTTTGTTTTGATACTGACC